AAAAACCAAGTGCAATTTCACCCCAAAATTTTATTTCAAAACTGATCGGACTGGAACTTTTCTGCCAGCCAATTACCAGTTGTCTTTCTTTAGGCCATCCCCAAGTTAACTGAGTACATATTTACAAAAGAAACAGCATCTCACTGATATTTATTGCCAGCTGCTATATCACACATGCACGGAGATTTACGGGGCTCATTTTAACATGTTCCTGTGCCCTGTTCCTCTTCACCCCATCCCTTACGCATGTTGCACCTGGACGTCATATTTCTTTCATTACTCTTGTTTGACAGGAAAACAAAAAGCAGGCTCCCATTATTTATAGCTTCTTTGTCATCTCCATGAAACAAGAAAGGGACTCGACCATGTAAAGACAGGAAGGCTTTGTTTAATTTTAATTAATTCAACTTCTTTCAGATCTGAGTAAACCCCAGAACCAGAGCAACCAAGCTAATCATATTGTGAAAGCTCTTTCCCCCATCTTAGAAAAAATAACACGGGGCTATATAGCAATTGACACGTTCTTCCAATGGTGAATTCGGAATTGTTTTCATTTTGAGTCTAAACAAATATTCCATCACCCGATTCTGCAGGGCCATTTTCCAAAGCAGGAGCTGGTAACATAAATCAAGCATGTTGCTGATCCAGTTAAGACTCAGTCACAGCCGATACTGGATCTTGCAATTTCGGTACTGTAATTAGCTAACAGCAGAACTTTCACTCAGTAGATAGATAAGAAAGGTTCATTGCAAACCAGAATTTTGTCATATTCACACAGATTTAACATGACAAATTACCCGAATCCCGGCCTCCGAATACGAGTGCATATGTCAGCCCCGATTTTAAATCCTAGATCTCTTTCTTCTTTCCTAATACTTTTTGTTGCTTTTTTTAGAATGGAATGTGGAAGGAAACTGCATCACGTTGACATAGGCTTTGTCTGGATTGAGTGTTTGTTTTCCTCCTTGCTAGCTTCAGCACTGAATCATGCCAAGAATATTGTATTAAAAATTAAAACTCTGAAGCTAAATATTTCACCATCACCACCCTATCTTACTGCTAGCCTTTGCTTTCTATAATGGAATATCCACATGTGTACACAGTGTGTATGATTAACTCTTATTTTTTTTCGATAGGGTACAGGAATGTTAATTTCACCACTTGCTGTCTAATTTAAATTAACACTTTCTAGTTACGAATGATCCATAGATCTTCCATACTAATTTACGTCAATAGGAAGGCTGTTTCCAATGAACACAAATGGCATAGTCATGTGAAAAGATAGATGGAATTAATATGAATGGATTTAGTTATTAGACTTGTAAATAGACTACATTGTTTTCAAATAACAGGACTGTAGAAGTTCCTGCTATCATCAGATGTGATGGTGACCAATTTAAATGGTTGTAAAGGGGAAGTGGACAACTTTATGGAGGATCTGATTCTGGAGACCACCATCAGTGATTACTGGACTTCTTCATTGTCTCCCATCTCCAGAATCAACAGCGTACCTGATAGGAACCAACGCTGGAGGAGACCAATCTTTCTTGCCTTGAAATGTGAGTGGTTACAACGTGATATAGACTAACAGTGTTATTCTTACGTAGCATCATATTAATAATCACAAAAGGTATTAAAATATCTAGAGGACTGATGGTGCATCTGAATGATGGAGATGAAATATTTTTTTTTAAAAAAAGTCAGAATCGACACTCGAATTTCAAGGGCAAACAAAAAGATCGATCTATCTAGTGAGATTTACACTTCACCCTTTGACGTCATTAGCTTTTGAAGATTTCACACAAGACTGCATCTACAACATAGAACAGCCTGGACTTCCTTGTACACTTTATTATTATCCTATTGACAGTAGTTACGGAAATTGTGCTGCGAAAGCAGACCAGGAAATATCAGGTGAAGTAACTGATACAAAACACTTCCCTTTCAAGGAGGCATAGCAGATGGCCCATTAAACATACAACCACCGCCGTATACATGCTGTTAAAAATATTCTGTATGATAACAAGAATATTACTGATGCAAGCTTGGAGTTCTATGAAAGGGCAACCTGTTGAGTCTCCGCTGGGACTCAGTTTCATGGTAACAAAAAATACATTTGATTACGTCTGAATTTTTATGAAAGAATTTCAACATGGAAAATAATAACACCAATGCTGAGGAGAACCAGAAGGAAAAACACCACTTGAAACAGCCTGATAATGTCTGGGTATTCTCTGTAAGTCATCTCTGGGGCAACATTAAGCAGTCTTTTTCTGCATCAAATGTATGCCTGCTCTTTGAGTGAAGTATCAATAGAAAGGAAATGAAGTATGCGCATTCCAAGTTTAGCATACCTTTTTGCCCCCTTTAGATGCAACTTGGGGAAATGAGTCACCTTTTGGTGCCAAGAAACCATAACTTATTTTGATCCTTGCCTAATATGCATTCTCTCCTTCCCCAAGTAGCAAAAGGAATTTTTCATCCTGATGTTCTTTCAAAACTTGAGGATGGGGAACGTATCATTCTCTCCTCTAATTTTTCCTCTCAACAGCAATGTTTTCTTTTTTGATTGTTTGACACAAAACAGTTTTAAAATCCATTATATTAGGCATAAAGTACTAAGTTATCTCCTTTTCTAAAAACATTTCTTTCTAAAGCATTCATTCAAACCGTATAGGTCAGTGGTGGCGAACCTATGGCACAGGTGCCAGAGGCGGCACTCAGAGCCCTCTCTGTGGGCACACATGCCGTCGCCCCAGTCCTAGGCCTTCAGCTGGGTTTTATAAAACCTTTTTGCTTTAGGCCTCCACTGCCATGTACAAAAAAAAAAAGGTTCAATCAATCAGTCAATTTCAACTTCTTGTGGGAAAAAAAAGATCTTGCAAAGTTGGAATTGATTGATTGAACATTTTAGTCCCACCCAGTCTGCCATGCCCACCCAATGGGCCATGCCCACCCAATGGGCCACACCCACCCGGCACCCAACGATGCATAAGTGGGTTTTGGGTTGCAGTTTGGGCACTCGGTCTCTAAAAGGCTCGCCATCACTGAAATAGATTAGCATTGGGGAAAGCTAAAAAGCAATAAAAAATACATTTAAAAAACTAAAATTAAAAAAAGTTAGCACTGGTGAGGTGTTTTAAATTTCCATTTCAAAGCAGACAAACTCTACAAAGGTAGCTTACTATTAATATTTCATATGTGGGAAACTTGAATGGAAGCTGATCATAAATATTTCTTGTGAATCTGGTATTTGTAGATTTAATTTTTTTTTACTCACAGAAATAGAAATCAGACTATTGTTATTGTAGGTTCTAACACGATACAGATTCCATAACTACTGATACCATAACAAAGTAGCAATTTCACTTAACATCATCCCACAAATATTACATACAGCATTACACATCAGGTTTATTTAACGTATACCTCGTTAGCTTAGAATCACCGAAAATTCTATCTGACAGGATCGGTACAGATAGCTGCACAACCTATTCCAAAATTCTCAGCCTTTTTCTCCCCTTACCTTCCTTTAGCTTCTTTGTTTTACCTTGAAGGTATTTGGGAAATTGCATCATGTCATGGACAAATGAGTCTGGCTGAAGTAAAGGAAACCAATTTCCCTCTTGGCTTTTCATATATTTATCTGATTATTTTTTAACTCATACCAAGTGGACTAGAAAGAATGGAGTTCTTAAGCTGTTGGAAGAAGTTATGAATGCTGTAATTTTGTACAATTAATATCAACAAGAGGTTGCCTTTGAACTTAAAAAGGCAGCTTACTTCACTGCAATGCCCAAGAGCCGGTAATCTATTGTATTTGCCATTAACTATAGTGGAACATGAAGGCGTGCTACAGATAAGGAATGTAGCCCAATATTATGAATATTTTCATTTTTGACATTTTAGGTTCAAGCTCCACCATCTCTATTTTTCTCAGCCACTGTGAAAAGTTTAGCACAGTGATGGCGAATCTTTTAGAGACCCAATGCAACCCAACTTATCACTAGGTGCCGGGTGGGCGTGGCCGCAGTGGTCATGGCAGAGTGGGTGGCGGGGCCAGGGTGGCGGGGGCCAGTCCCTCGTCATCTCCGGGGCACAGCATATGTGCCCACAGAAAGGGCTCTGAGTGCCATCTCTGGCACGTGTGCCATAGGTTCGCCACCACTGGTTTAGCATATTCCCGTTTGAATTTCTCATTTTTCAGACTGGAGTACAACTCAATTGTCTGCTGAAGACTACAATGAGTGACCCAATTCCTATGGCTTGTCTTCAGTGTATACATGATAGAACATCTATCTTTCTGCAAAGTTACGAGTGTAGGAAAGCCAGGAATAAGCGGGCTAAACGGGACCACTGGTTTCACTTAAAACACATGGGACATCTAGTTTCCCTCAAAATAAGGAAACCCCTTATTAAAAACATGTTACTGTTACTTTCTCTGGCAGAAACCATACATGGCAAGGTTCAGTCAGAGCAAATTAAAATTCCTTATTCTTGTCTACAAAATTTACATCTTTCTATGTTACTATTATTATTATTATTTATCACACTTCACACACAAAAACTCAAGGTAGTAAATATTCATGCCTCCTATTTTCCCTACAAAAAAACCAACCTTGTAAAGTAGGTTGGGCTGAGAGAGAGAGAGAGAGAGATTAGTCGAAATTCCCAGCTCACTTTCATATCTAGAACTCACACTAGGCCAGCACTACATCTAACCAGCTCTTTGTTACATGTAATGTATATTATATGTTGTCCACTATATGCCTAATGCTGGGAAAGATTGAGGGCAATAGAAGAATGGGACGACAGAGAATGAGGTGGCCTGGAGGAATGTTGTCCATGGGGTCGCGATGGGTCGGACACGACTTCGCAACTAACAACAAAAACAATATGAAATTCATATGAACCTTCCTCCAATACTGCAATTTCCATACCAGTGGCAGCAAGTAGCTACTGCAGGTTGTTGCATGACACTAGAAGACCTATGACACTTCTTCAGTATAGTTGAATTATAGTTTATTTCATTTAACAAAAATAATGCACAAACAGGACATCTGTCACATAGGTCAGAATACTTGTTTATTACTTACAAAACTCTCCAATTTTGGATGTTCCTATAACTAAGCTTCATTTTGGTACAACTTTTTGAATCATTTTTTTAACTCAATAAGACAAACAAACCAAAGCAAGCCAATTCTCTGCAAAAAAAAAAAAATCTTAACTAATTTTATCATTAATATGGGGAAAGGAGCACCTTTGTCAGACTTAGATGAAGCCTTGTTAACTTTTAGCTGAAAAGTACAACCTCAATAGCTATTAACATATAAAATTATGTTGCATTTTGTCACCACCCACAGCGCTTTAAAAATGCAGAGCTGCAGATGCTAAACAGTCTTCAGGGGACTTATCTTTTTTAGATCATTTGTTATTGCATCCATTTTAAAAGGATTTTCATATAGGTTTCAATTTGCTTGGAATTCTTTACCCATTGCTTTCTTCAAAGAGAAACAAAATTATACACAGTCTCCTGCAGCAAAATGGACACCTGCACCTATGCCTGGAGTTTCAAGCTTGGGAAGCTTTTGCTCAAGTTGTCAGCAAGAGTCTGATCTGCTCCATGCAGCACTTCAAGAAAACTCTCCACCTGGAAAAAAAGAAAAGTATATTTTGTCATATACTATATAGCAAGTTGAATAAGGTAAAACATGCAAATTGCTAAGCAGGGTGAACTTATTTTGTCAACTGCCTTGACCAGGATGTAGATTGTTTCCAAATTTCACTCTTTACTAGTTTATAGGACATCAAATAATAATTTCTACAGAGCTGCATACCTAAATGCCTTCAAAGCTTTCTTGGTTTTGAACTTCCCAAATATCAGTCAATATCACTTCTGTGACAGTGGAAAAACTTCCTTCCTAACCTATTCATTGCTGCTCCTTTACATATATTAAATGTATGGGGAAAAGCATTGTGTAAAGTGTTTCGTGGTTGAGAAAACAAAACAAACAGGGTTATAATATTATAGGAAGTCTCTGTCTTACGACCACAAACGATCCCCAAATTTCTGTTGTTAAGTGAGACAATTAATGTGAATTTTGCCCCATTTTACAACCTTTCCTGCCACAGTTGTTAAGCATATCACTGCAATTGTTAAATTAGTAACATGGTTGTTAGGTGAATCTGGCTTCTTCCTTAATTTTGCTTATCAGAAGGTTGCAAAAAATAATCACATGACCTGGAGACACGGCAACCGTCATAAATATGAGTCAGTTGCCAAGTATCCGAATTTTGATCACATGACCTGTGGGGATGCTGCAATGGTTGTAAGTGTGAAAAATGGTCATAAGTCACTTTTTTTCAATGCCATTGTAACTATGAATGGTCACTAAACAAACCGTTGTAAGTCGAAGACCTGTATTTGTTTCACCAAATTTATAACCCCATTTCTGAAGAACTAGAGGCAGTGTACAATAAAGAACAAAATTACAACACCGACATGACAATAAAAATCCCCTAACCTGAATGCCTAGGATCAATGCTCTCAAACGAATTTGTGAAATTCAAAACATAGAAAGCTTTGAAGACTATGCATCACGATAGAAATTTTACTAGAATTTACCTGTGAGGTAATTTGAGCAGAAAGGACTACAACAGCCCCAAATCACCTGGTGTGCTCCCATGGCTGAGGGTGGACTCAAATATGGATTTTCCCAGTGTCAGCCCAACACCTTAACAATTTTTAAGGCATAGGTTATATAATTTAAAGCTGGGAGGAGAAGGGGGAAAGGAAAGAGAAGAGAGCCATTTTTTTTTATTCTATCAATGAAATTTTATCAGCCATGTTTTTGAACGTATATCTTTAAATTTTTTTTTTTAGACGAAACCACATATATGAGATATTTATCCTTGACAATATTTAAGAATCATCTCAAACATAGCTTTTGCTTATTTTTATAAGTCATACATACCGAAGATGAATAAAATGGAAGGAGATTCTGAAATGCACAGGAGCATTTCTGTTCATTTATATGACCTTGCTTGAGACCCTCCAATATGTTTTCCTAAAAATACCAGCAAAGAGTTAAATTCTGTTTGAATAAAGAATTTTTAACAAACCTTATTAAGGTCGGTAACTCAACGGTGAAAGACAAATATAAACAGTATGTTCCAATAAAAAATGTTAGTCATGGCAACCCAGTGATCAAAGAAAACATTTTAATATTAATAACAATTCTGCATATGAAGAATACTAAATGTTAACTATTAAATACTTAAATAAGCAATATTCCACTGTGTTTCATGTGCATAAATCAATCTTTGAATAAGTTTGGCTATAAAAAAGGTGTTAAAAGTGTAATACCCCATAACTGCTAGAAGAGTCCTGTAGAGGGTATTTGTATACAATAGCTGAGAAGTGAGCACTTAAAACAAAGGATGGATACACATGTTACCTCCATCAAACTAAATCAATATATTTCATAAAAAAAATATTCATCCCACAGAGGACTGACACTGTCTGTCTACAGCAACAATTTTCCAGTGAGATTTTTGCAGAAATTATAAAATGCAAGCCGGCCAGTTTTCTATCATTGTTAACATGGTGAAAGTGTTCTACACTTCTCATGTGTATATGCTCATATACATAAAAATATAGGTTCCATTCCTTTCCATTCTAGAAGAAAATTCTAAAATTAGTAAGACAATACATGCTTCAAAAATTATCCAGAAGAACTTCAGAAGATGTAACAGTGCAAATACAGCTCCATTATAAACAGCCAGGCCTTTTTTTAAAGCATCTGTATGACCCTTGGGGGAGTAAGCTGCTTTAATAAATAACATATATTTTTATATTTTCTAGCAGGTTTATAGCTAGAAAGTGGGAGACCATGATTCAAGTCCTGTCTTATCCATGAAAGCCAGGCCCAAGAAATAAAAAACCAGGATATACTTCAAAAGCACTACGAGTTTATTCCACACTTATACACAAGAATCTCATCTACTACCAGTGAAGCCAAATTGGTGGTAGATACCTGTCAATGTACTTCAAGGAGACTGGACTTAGGTCTCTTACAGGAGCGTCCAAACTGATGATGTGTTTGACCCCGCCCTCGGTTCAGCCTAATCATCTCCTACATCTGGGAGACTTTGGGCCAGTTACTCTGTCTCTTGTTGTGGGGAATAGGAGGAGGAAGATATGTTGGATATGTTTGTTGCCTTGATTTATTTGTAACAATAATAAAGGCGGGTTATAAACAAACAAACAAATAAACACATTAAAGATAGAATTCCTTTAATGCATACATGGATACTTGTAATTCCCACGTATTCCAAAACATCCCTCTGAATAATTTCTGAAGCATGAACAACCCTTAAAATAAATTCTTCCATCTCAAAATTATAGAAGTTATTACATTAGTGATAAAACATGGGCTGAAACCATCCCTTAATTTTCAAAGTTTATATGATTTTTTTAACCTCTGATAATTCCTGGAGCATATTGGAGAGTAATTCACAACAGATGTCCTTCAAGATTTTTAAATGGAAATCTTCATCAACTATTTCCAATTTCTCACACTCTTTTGTTTGGGATTTCTTCAAGCTGTCTACAGATCTCTTCTCACATTCATCCATATTTTGTAACACTCTAATCACGCTGTCAATCAGAACCAGATCTGAAATGCAATAAATAAATAAATTAAAATTCTGAATAAAAGTATTTTGGGCCAAAGAGGAATTCTTGCAGTGAAGTAAATTTTAAAATAGGTAGACTTTGGAGTCTTTGAGAAGAAACATAAGATAAATAAAGAACAGCTCTTTCTTCACAAATTAACCTAATAACTGTCATTATAGATCAAATGAAAATATTTTCCATAAATATTTATATACAGAACAGTCCATTTAAAAGGAAAAAATATTAGAGGAAATGCACATGTCTTGTAATATTATATATTTAAAAGGACAATGTCAATTTGTTAGAATGTAATCATTTCAGTCAAAAATCTATGGCTTAGACAAATTGGAATAAATAGCCATATATAATATTTATCATAAAACCTCTAAAAACAAATTCAAGATGAAGAAAATTTATACTGTTATGACTTTAAATTGAATATAGGAAAATTAACAATAGCTTCAATTTATGTCCAAATGACAATAAATAAAATATTATGAAACTATTTTTCTTTTACTTCTTGAAATAGCAAGAGAGAAATTTTAGATATTGGGAGAAAAAAATGGGGCCCTTTTATGTCACTCTTTTCTCTTTTGAAAAATAAATGTCCTTTAGAGCAGGGATCCCAATCCCCGGTCCATGGACCGACACCGGTCCACAGCATGCCAGCAACTGGGCCATGCAAACAAGCGAAGCCCCATCCGCGGGATGCAGGCAACATGCAAAACCACGCCTCTTTCAGTCTGTGGAAAAGCCTTTCTCCATGGAACCGGTCCATGGTGCCCAAAAGATTGGGGGCCACCGCTTTAGAGATATTTCTTTCACTAAACTTACTCAAGTACACAGTGAGTTATGTCTCTAGTTCATTATGGCAAATTTACCACTTGTGAATACAATAGTAATGGTTCACATATAAAATTATTTGAACGTATTCTTGTAAATTTTTCATCACCCTAACTCAGTGGTTCTCAACCTTTTTATACCGGCGACCCCGGTCATAAGGATGCGTGGCGCGCATGCGCGGCAGCGCCCCCATGCGCCACCCCATGCGCAGCGCGCATGTGCGGCGCGGCACACATGCGCGGTGCCGCCAGCTGAGAAAAAAATGGTGGATCGTGTTGTTTGGCGACCCCCATGAAATGGTCGTTCGACCCCAAATGGGGTCACGACCACAGGTTGAGAACCACTGCCCTAACTCCACTCTGATCTATGCTACTGAATACTCCCTTTTGAAATTCTGTGATTATTTTCCCCACCATTTTGACTTTTGTAATATGTAAGATATAGCACTTACTCTTTCCCATCTTAACATAGTCCTGATCTGTCTGTGAAGGAAAAATGGCTGATAGCACAGATAAAATAGAAGCCAACAGGGTCTTCTGTTCTTGAACAATAATTGGTGGATCATCTGGCTGGCAGAGTTCATTGCAAAAGAGATTATAGAGCAAGCTCCAGGTTTCCTTTCCTCTATCAGAAGATTTGACTGAAAGATGAGGGGAAAAAAATAGTCAATCTCTGAAAAAAAATCTTTATTAAAGATTTTTTTAATAATCTTTAATAATCTCTCAATCTCTACAAATACTTCGTTATTAAATGCTTCAGAAAACATACCAATTGTTTGAATGCCTTCATCCACTGTAGTGAGCAGCTGTAGAATATGCATATAAACTTCAAGTCCTTCGGAATTGTTATCTGAGCTGCAGTAAATCATTATGAATTTTAGTTAGAATTATTCATTAAGAAAGATTTGTGTGCCTCTGTATCTATATGAGAAAACTCAGAGGTGAAGGAGGACCATATTGTTGAAAAAAGCAAATATTTATTGAAATGTTTCTACCCCATTCAGTGATATCCAAGAGAGTTAAACTCCAACATTTCCATTTTAAAATTGACATGATTTGGTGTTCTTTTGCTACAAAAGGCGGGTAAAATGAACCCGAACATTTGTCCAATATGAAAAAAAAATGCCTTATATTTCTATGCTTGTATGCATACTGATAGATGCTTACCAAACTTGTTTTGCAGCTTCAAGCAGACAAGGTAGAATTTTAAAATCAGGAACATCATCTGGAGAATCATCGGTGGGCTGTTCCGTTGACGGACAAGAACCTTTTTTAATCCAATTTACCATTAATTCTTCATCCAAATCAAACAACTTATCAACCACTTCACCAACTTTCACCAGTAAGTCCACTGAAAAAGTTAAAGTACAGTTAAATTAAGACCACATAAAATACAAAGCAACATTCAGAAAATAAAACATTTTAGTATGCTCTAATATACTATACTATATTACTAGCTAATAGTAATTAATTTGGATGTATGCTGCTTTGAGAATCTTTACGTAGTATTGGTAAATCAAATGTAATTTTATTTTCAGCTAAATAAATACAAAATAACCAGAAAAGTAACCTCCCCAACCCAAGAAATGTTTGTTGTATGTTTTTTTCTTTCCTTTTTCTTAACTTTTATACTTCTTTTTTCAATTCACTTTGCAGGAGTGATACAATAAAGCATAGCATTAAGAATTAGGATGTGGATTTCCAAACAGTTTAATGTTATGCTATAATATAAGAGCACTTTGGATTTCAAGGCCAAAATGTGCTTTGGAGTATGAAAGGGCATGCATATACCACCTGTCTACAACTTTTTAAATTGGAAATGTTATACATTTCTTGCACTCCTCCCCTTTTAGCCTATGTTTACCTTTGAAAATATATTTAAGACAATTCAGAAAATCAGTGCTACTTATGGCATCTACAGCTGAAGGTTGTTTTACCCAAGACTTGGATTGCTAGAGACTCAAGAAAGAAGCTTCTATTGTTCCTTCAGTTTGTAAACATAGTACTTTATGAAGATCTAATCACATTCCTATTTTATATTCATGTAATATAGTATGCTATGGACAACCCAAAGATTGTATAAGGAAAATAAGGAAAATATAGGAAAATAAGGCACCAGAAGCTACTCCACTGATTTACATGGTTTTGCTGTATCATGGATTCTTTATTTCTTAATAGAAATGTTTTGAGCAAAGTTTTCCCTACAAATAATTTAAAAATATTTGATTCCCATAATCAAAGTACATTAGAAGTTGTGCATTTTTCCTTACTTTAAAAAATGCTCTTCGATGCAATAAAATACATTATTCATGTATTAGCTTACCGTTTGTAGAACTAGACATGATAAAGCAGAAACAGTTATAGACAGACGGACTTTGTCTGATTCTCTCCACCCAAATATTAGCCACCTCAGATTGACAGAGGCAAGTCAACAGTAACCTAAAATACAAATGGAAATGTAACAATATGAGTTTTTTTTTGAAAAGCCCAAATGTACATATCAGTCCTATAAGTGTTTAAAGGTGAGCTCATTAAACCTATTTCTAAGTTAACTTGTACAGGACTCCACTCTTTAAGTTTTTATCATGGCGTATGTTGATTAGATATACAATTAAAATTAAAATCAAATAAATGATGTGTGAAATCAATTTAACTGTGAAGACCGAGTAAGGTAAAATACAGTAGAATACAGGTAGTCCTCAACTTACAACAGTTCATTTAGAACTGTTTGAAGTTACAACAGCATTGAAAAAAGTGGCCTATTTGGAATTGGGCCATACCAGGGACTGGCTGCAGCACACATGTGTGCGTGCAACACAACTCGCACGAGCAGCAGGCTGGCAGGCACTCACACATGTGCATGCCAGCCCGCTGCTTGCGCAAGTTGAGCTGCATGCGTGCACACTGGCCTGCTGCTTGCGTGGCCCAGTTCCCTTCTCTACCCTCAGCCAGGCCCCCAAGCCACAAAGATTCTGGATTTCTGATTTAAATTATTTAGCAAAACATCAAAAATTCTTCCTGCACCAACTCAGAAAGCTCAGACTGCCCAAGGAGCTGCTGATACAGTTCTACAAAGGAATTATTGAGTCTGTCATTTGCATCTCTATAACCGTCTGGTTTGGAACTGCAGCCAAACAAGACAGACATAGACTTCAGTGAATAGTTAGAACTGCAGAAAAAACAATTGCTCCTAGCCTGCCTTCCATTGAGGACCTGTATACTCCACGAGCAAGAAAGAGGCTGTGAAAATATCTACAGACCCCTCACATCCTGGACATAAACTATTTCAACTTCTTCCCTCCAGACGACGCTATAGGGCATTGCAGACCAGAACAACTAGACACAAGGACAGTTTTTTTCCCCATGCCATCCCTCTGCTTAACAACTAATTCCTACAACACTGTCAAAATATTTAGTAAAGCTGTATTACTACGATACTCCTCATCTTTCCTATTACCTATCCTTATTTTCTTATGACTATAACTTTGGTGCTTGTATCTTACAATGTATATTTTTTGTACCCTAGTATGATTTATGTTGTTTGCTTAGCTAGTACTCTATGACTATTACACTAAGTGTTACATCTTATGATTTATGACAGTGGTGGCGAACCTATGGCACGGATGCCAGAGGTGGCACTCGGAGCCCTCTCCGTGGGCACACGTGCCATCGCCCCAGCCGTGCCTCCCCCCGTGGCCCTCTCCTTACCAGCAGCCCCCCTGGAGGGGAGTCACCCCAAGGCGCGGCCTGCACGGAGCAGCGCAGCCAAGGACATAGCCAGGCAGCAGGGAAAAGACTCCGCCCTTGCGCCCCGTAGCATGCAGATGATGCTGCGGGGTGTGGGCGGAGGGCATGGCTGCCATGGTGCTGCAGGGCTGCCTGGGCGATCTGCTGCGGTGGGCCATGGAGGCAGTGTGTGGCCCTGCAGGTGGGCGGGGCAAGGGGTGGGCGGGGGCAGAGTAGGGGCAGGGGGTAGTTTTTGGGCACTCGGTCTCTAAAAGGTTCGCCATCACTGATTTATGATGAAGAGTTGTATTTCACAATTTATGATGAATGTATTTTCATGTTGAATATGATCATGATTATCACTATTACTTGTACGTACATTGAGAGCTTATGCACCGGAAACAAATTCCTATGTGTCCAACCACACTTGGCCAAAAGAATTCTAAATGTTCTAAATTCTAAAAGGGAGATCAACTAGATTCCTTATTTCAGCCTTTTTGCCAGCCAGAATACGCAGATATCCATGACAATTGCCAGGGTTTGGAAGGATTAGAAGCATCCTAATGTCCCTGTTATCAGAATAATCATTCTAATTCTATGTATTGTCCAAAAAGGTAAGGAGCAAAAATAGCCACTTAAGGAAGTCTTCTAGAAAAGGAAGATCAAACTATGCTGACTGGAATATATAAGCCAGTATATATTGCTCATCATCTTTATGGTCTTAAAAACTGGTCCTTCTTTTGGCCTCCACTTATTTGGACTGTCAGCTTAATCAGTTTTAAAACTGATATGAGCAGCTTTTGGAGACAACAGTTGTAAGAAAAAAAGATAAAAATTCACTGAGTAAACATTCTGGTACTTTTACTCAGACATTTAGAACATCAGAGCATTGGAAAATGGCCTCACTTACACCTAATACTAAATGAGAATTATGGCTCGTTTATAATTATAATCAAGCAACAATAATTCCATCAGTGGTTTATCTTTACAAGCAAAGCAGCCATGCCTGGCTTCTGATCCGGGGAAAAAAATTGAATGAATTAAACAGAAATCCTGGTTTGTATACAACAACCACACAGAGAGTTGACCAGATCAGAGAAATGCATTTCACTGCAAGAGAAGCTACAAGCATTTAGCATTTACAAACTACAAAGATACAAGCTACAGGTTTGTGTACAGTATATACAAACATCATGACTATTTCCAGGTAAATCAGAATTTTATCATTCTAGCTTACCACTGTATCTTATGCTAAGTGCAATTTTAATCCCTCAGAAACAAACCAACAGACAAAAAAGCCATGCTTACCTGCTTGTTTCAAGCAGAGTTGGGGAATCAGAATCACATAAACGATGAAGCACTATCTGTCTGGAAAAATTACATATCGGTTAAGCAGCATACAAAATGAGACAAACATTAGTTTCTATGTCTTTACTCAGACTTCTGTCAATGTTTCCTGAGCCTTTTCATCCTTGCTATTTAGAGTTGCCAAAATAAAGTGCAAGTGCAATATCGGAGAATGTTTTACTATAGGTCAAGCATGTCAAATTGCCGGCCCATAGGCCGGATGCGTCATGATGAAACCACACCCATCCCATTGCTGGCAATGGGGAAAAAGTCACGATACCTCGCGCAACGTCACATGACGTCACGAGTTTGACATGCCTGCTATAGGTAGTCCTCTCTTAGCGATTGTTCAAAGTTATGACAGACACACACAATGGCTAGGACAGGGGTAGGCAACCTTGGCTCTTTTATGACTCATGGACTTCAACTCCCAGAATTCCTGAGCCAGCATAGCTGACTCAGGAATTCTGGAAGTCCATGTGTCATAAAAGAGTCAAGGTTGCCTACCCCTGCTAGGAGATAACAGATTTAACATCTGATTGTCTTCTATTACCAGCAATGAGTTTTGGAAGAGCAATCCTTGGCATCCATACTATATAGCTCTTTTGAAATAAAAAAAGGCAATTTGATTACATGCTTGCAATAGAAGCCTTTATCTTTTAAAGGAGGAATCAAATATTTTATCTGGGCATCTCCAAGGTTTAGGCTATCCTTAGTAAGATTCTATTCACACTATATTAAGACTCTGCTACTGCAGTTCTCACAGCTGAAAGGATAAACAAAGAATTAATGGAAGTGAGAAAAGAGATAGAGTGGGGGGAGGAACATGAAAGTTAAACAACTGGATAAATTAGATTGCAATAAAAATATAGATCCTGCTAATGTAGCCAGGCCAAAAAAAAAAAAACCTTGTCCTTGATAATGTTTGCTAATACATATGTATAAAGTCATTTTTTTCTAATATTCTTTTTTATTCTTACTTTTGGACTTGACACTAAGTTTCCTGTATTTTCCTCCTTGAGAAATATTACTAACCTTACTAACATTAACATCAAGTACATTTCTTCTTTCATTCTATTAAGAATCACTGTGTACTAAATGGTGTTTTAGTAGCAACAGGAGGTAAAACTGGAGTCTGAAAATCATGAAACAAAAACTTACCCCAGGTTCTCATTTTTACTAATAGATATGCATATATCTTGGCAGCAGGCCATATTTCCCAAAATACCTACACAGATTTCCTGCAATACAAAATATATTAAGTTAACATAAAGTTATATATACATTAAGGTAAACATTATCCAGGAAATATATGCTTAGGTGTGTTTTCAATATATGCAGAATCAATTGAAGCAGAAATCTAATTCTCTATGCTCTCATTTTTTTCCCTCAACAAATAGCCAGATACTTTAATATGGTTTAATAACATATTTATTAAGCATTAGATTTCTCGTACTGATAGCCTTTACACAATATGACATTTTGGGGTATATATATTGGTATTTTCTACAAGCTGCATTATCTTATAGGACAAAAGCAGGGGAGGAAGTGCTGCATATATTGCCTCGAGCTCCTAAAGGAAAAGTGCAACAAATCAATTAATCTCTTGGTAACAATGTGACTTGATTCCATCTCTATTAGATTATTCCTTATTTAAACTCTCCCATTGTTTACATTTTTATTATATGACAAAGAAGGTGGAGACAAGCATAGAACAAGCTGGCTTGACAACATCAAATCTGATGCTAAGCTGAACATACAATTGAAAGAAGCTGTGTTGGACAGGGTATTACGGAGAGCACTTGCCTATAAAGTCACCAGGAGTTGGACACAACTAAATGGTTAAAAACAACAATAATTTTGGAAGTCATATCCGGTTTATTCAAAACCTTAGTTATGCCAAGTCATGGCCAATCAGGATATGTCAGTTAACATTTCTTAACTACATGCACAGAAGTCAAGGACTGCCTGTACACAATTGTGTGATTCTATTTGGACAAAACTCAGCAGCACTTTTTCATGCTGCTGATAAAAACAGGATCGTCAACGTCCGATAACGGATATGGCACAAGAAGAAAATAACTGTACTGTTTTTCAAGATGAGTAACGTTAAGATCTGTGAATGTCCCAGAATTCTCATGCTGTTGCTAAGTCCACAGATCTTAAAGCTGCTGATGTTGAAAATTACTGCTATAACCAACGATAAAATAGTTAGAAAACCATAGAAGTATATGGATTAATAACAAGCGATACTAACAACTCAGAAATATTTAGTCAGTTGTATACAGATAGTCCCCAACTTACAACAGTTTGTTTAGTGACCATTCAAAGTTGCAACGGCACTGAAAAAAGTGACTTATGACAGTTTTTCTCCCGTCAGTTGCAGCATCCCCATGGTCATGCGATCAAAATTCAGATGCTTGGCAACTGGTTCATATTTATGAATGTTGCTGTGTCCCAGGGTCGTGTGATCACCTTTTGCGTCCTTTTGACAAGCCAAATTTGTTTAACAACCGCACTACTAAATTTTTTTTTATTGAAAATTTTTACAGTTTTACAATAAAATAATCTCCCTCTCCCACCCCACCCCCTTCCCTCCCTTCACCCTCCCCCCCTCCTTCCCAGAGCTGAATACAGGGTTAATAAAAACTAGAAAAAACCTTACAACTTAAATAAACATCAAACAATTATAAATACATTCAAAAAACAAAATTTTTAAATACTTTAACTCCAATATATATAAACAAAACAAAACAACAATTCTAATCATTACCTTAAACATAAATTATTTGAAAGCTAAATAATACTTTTTAATCTCATACTTATGCTGTATGAAACCGCACTACTAACTTAACAATTACAGTTGTGATTCCCTTCACAACTGTGGCCAGAAAAGTCATAAAGTGGTGCAAAACTCGCTTAACAACTATTTCGCTCAGTAACACAAATTTTGGGCTCAATTGTAGTCGTAAGCCCAGGATTACTTGCATTTAATGGCTTTCTCCTACTTTTTAACGTTGTACTTTTATTTCCTGTTTGTGCTTTATTCAACTGCATAATTTTATAGTCCCAAACTCAACACATAAGTAATAAACAAAGATTCATAATAGAACTTACAGTAAGTCGAGGACACTTGGACTTTGCAAGAAAAACCATAAATATGTCAGGGGCTTTAAACTCTTGTAAAAATAAAGCAACGTCCTGAAAAGCAAGAAATTTGGATTACTGATGTAGAGTGAAACAGAGCTGATTCGGTGAGGAGTAGCATAATTTTAAAAAATTCATTTTGGAGTTACATATACTGCAAAACGTTTCTACTAGCACCATTGCAAATATTTTTTTTTTTTTACTGAACGTAAAGTTTGAACTTATATTGATGTTATCTCCTCTGAATGATTCTTGGCAACACAGGATCTTAAGACAGTAATATGGATGATATTACATACATTCTTTCTCTCATTTATTCAGAAGACCAGTTGATCATAAACAGATGATCAAAATATTAGTCAACAGATAGTACGAGACAGGTTATTTCTTTTGGAAGAAGTGTATCAACAAAACTCTTCAGTGCTTAATTTAAGATAAGGTATGGAGAACATAGAGAGAATAAGGTCAATGTGAGGAACTTTACATTGATTTTAATAAACATAATCTATGCCAAGGTTTCTACTGCTACCCCATATAACAATAAATCTGGGTAGAAAATTATGAATAAGTTTTTGCAGGGGTCAGGTTGAGGAAGTAATAAATATATAACTTTAAAATACCATTCACTTTTAATAATTACGTTTTAAGATATATATCACAGAGATTCTTAATTATTCAACTTGGACAAGTAAAATGAGTAACAAAGCACAGAAAAAGATTTGACCGTATTCCAACTCTGCCTATAGCAACCTGATCAGGTGTAAAAGAAAAATGAGATCCATATTTTGAGAATCCCTGTCTCTTACAAGCAACATTTTGCTTAAAATGTTATAAAGAAAAGCACAGCAACCCAGATATAGAAATGCCAGATAAATAGGTGGGTTTCCGCGGGACACAAACTGAGATGGACAATGCCAAGCATGAACATACAAGAAGAAATTTTACTTCACTGACCACAGCCAAAGATCATGTAGATTCTTAGAAGGTGAAACATCTTCAGATGAAATGGTGTAACAAAACTGATTCTTCTTCACAAATGTTATTACAAATATATTACAAGAATGGAAAATTAGAAGAACTTACAGCTGAAAACTATACTGGAGACTGACAATTTGAGATCCACAGAGGGTAAAATTTTCTTAACCAAATAAAAAGACATTTAAAGTTGTTTCTGAAACTTAAAAATGGAATATGAAATATCTTAAGACAAAGATGTCATCTTGCATGCTAGGTGAACTTGCAGTTGACAATGATAAAGTGAAAACAGGCAGTATGCTGAATAAATAAAAAATCTAATACCAGGAAGATAGTGACAAACATAAGGCAAAATCATGGTGGAAAAAGATATTTCAGAACAGTGAAAGCTATGGCCTTTTTGGTTCTAAGGCAGGGGTCCCCAACTCCCGATCCATGGACCAGTATCGGGCCGCAGCATGCCAGCAACTGATCCGCCCAAACAAACAAAGCCCCATCCGTGGGATGCAGGCAGCACACAAAACCCCGCCCCCTCTGGTCCATGGAAAAACCTCTCTCCACATAACTGATCCCTGGTGCCCAAAAGGTTGGGGATCTCTGTTCTAAGAGAAGCATATGAAAGCTGGAAATACCATAACAAAAAACAAACAGAAAATATATGTTTTCAAATGAAAGTATGGAGGCAGTTACAAAGAGAAACAAATAAAGGCAGATTAGAAAGCACAAGCTCATAGAGAGTTTTGGCATATGATAGAAGGAGGAAACAGCCTACAAAAAATTATTGTACCTGAAAAGATTGAGGGATACTTTCTAGTTAATACTATATATAGTCAATTTTATTCCCAAATGATTTTAATACCCTACAGGAGGTAGTTTTAACTAATACCTTATCCATTGACATGTCCCATACTTTGCAAATATCATTCTCCATCTCTTCATCTAGTTCCATTTGTTCTTCTTCATTGTTCAGTTTTGAAGTATCCTTTTAAGAGTTAACAAAGTTGTAAGTAAATAAAAGCACATAAATAAAATTACAAAGCAACTTTGAAAAACCTACCCGTAGACTTAAGTAGTTATTGTACCTAAACCATAACAAATATAGTTATGCTACAATTATACTACTATAGCAGTTATGGGAATGTTATTCATGGCAACCAGAGTCCACCCAGATAAGACTTTTTAATTTCAATGTGATATCTTGCTGTTTTGCATTTTATACATTTTACATATAAAGCTACCTATGTAACTATGCATGCATCTATAACTCTTAGCTAATGGCCAGGAGTGTGATGGTTCACGTGGTTACGATGGTGGGATGGAGGTTAGCAAACCAACGTTCAAGATCCGACTGCTGCCGTAGGGCAGAGTTGAGCTCCTGTCTTTCTCTCTAGCTCCTGCTGGAGATATGAAAGGAACCCCCACCTGGGTGTCTCACAGCAAATGGTGAGATCACCAGCTCATCCTTTCAACCTAGAAGTGCCTCGGTGTTTCTGACATGAGTGCAGGCAAGCTATTGGCCAATGATGATAATCAAATGATATTCATCACCTTTACGATGACAAATTAGCTTTCGTGGTCTTGTGCCATACAATTAAATTAATCTAATTGAGGATTACAGATAACCAAGATATGCTGACACTTTGTTACTGTGTACTTAGCTTACATATTCTGCCACTCTGTTCTCTCTTTGTTCAAAGCTAGGAAGAAGACCTTATCTGGAAAGTCCCAAACTCTACCATATCTTTGGAGTGTTAACATTCATTCTTGATAAACCCAGGGTGGAAACGTTTGAAATTTACATGTACATTAATATTATAATGTGCCATAATAGAAAATCACCTAACAGTTCAACATGTCTACGTCAGTACTACAGTAACTGCATACAATGGTTGTCTTTTATCTATGGTGTCTGTATTTTGTTAATACAATGAATTAATTTAGAATCTGCCCTGTGGGTCTTTCTTTGTTCTGATACATCTTGAATTAATCACAGATTAACTGAATATTTTAGTAATTATTTAACTTCCATTCCGTTTCTCCCATTACAAAATTGTTCATGTTTTTGACTAACCTTGTTCAAATTTTAACAGAAAACCCTTGGGTATCATTTTTAACACTTTGATTAATATAAAATTACATCTTCTATATCTGCAAGCTTGAGTGATAATTTAAGCTATTTCCCAATTAGCTATTAAACACCTGTTCCCAAGATACTGGCTCTGATGTATAATCTGCCTTATGCTTGCCACACTTCTATGAAAAGATTTGTTTCACATTCAGCATATAACAAGTGCACACAGAGAAGATAATACAGAGCACCTCAATTAATTTTTCAAGCACACTAATCAGCCAGTGTTTACTGTAAACTGTATTTCCAATGGAATTTCCAGCAGCCACTTCTTCCTCCTCTGAATCACTTGAGGGGGGTGAAGGATTTCTGTCCATATTTGTGCAATGCTATCCTATTAATAGATTGAAAGGTTCCTAAAAAAAAAATAGAAAACAAGAGTTCAAAAATTTTATTTTGGAAAGAAAACTGCCTTAAGGATAAGCCCAAAAAGCAGTAAGTCCACAGCAGTAAGATTCTTGCACTGAAGAGATCTATGGTCCCTCCCAATTTTAACATTCTGATGCTTTGCAAAAATTTGTCACTTGTTCCCCGGTCATTCATGCAGAAATACCTTGCAATACTTACCTGACAAATAGTAAAAAATTTGTTACAAAAACCGCTAATCTCCTAGATTTAAAAATAAATATATCCAGAACTAATTGTTGAGAAGCCTGTTAAAACTCACATGTAGCTTTCCAGAACAATGCACTCTCATACTGCATCTAAGAAATCATTAAAAAACCAGCTGAAGATGTATAATGTCTATTGACTTGTTTGTTAACTTAGGAGGGAATATGCTGAGATGTTTTCTATAACTGGAAGTTCAAACCTATTCATGTGTCCAGTTGAATTTAAATTCCTGAGATTGATTTCTAAGTAGTTTCCAATTTCCAAGCACAAAAATAGGGCTGTTCAATATAACTAATTACAGATAGTCCTTGATTTATGACCATAAATAAGCCCAAAATTTGTTAAGTGAGACATTTGTTAAGTGAATTATGCCCCATTTTATGACCTTTCTTACCCTTAAGTGAATCACCACAATTTTAAGTTAATAACACGGTTGAGTGAATTTGGCTTCCCCATTTTGTTTGTCAAAAGGTTGCAAAAGGTGATCACATGACCTTGGGACACAGCAACGGTCATAAGTACGAGTCAGTTGCCAAACATCTGAATTTTGATCATATGATCATGGGGATGCTATAAAGGTTGTAAGTGCAAAAAATCTGTCGTCAGTCACTTTTTTCAGGGCCATTGTAACTTTGAACGGTCAACTAAATGAACTGTTGTAAGTCAAGGACTACCTGTACAAAACAAATATAAACCAGAAAAGGGAACACAAAGTCAGAGAAATTCTGTGCATAGGGAAAGACAAATCTTTTGTTGTTGTTGTTTTCAACCTCTGGGGCAAATTAAAAGCCCCAGCGTTTCCCTAGAAACGAAAACAAATCGGGAGTGAGCTCTTGCATCGAGTTTAAGTTGGCCTCGCCCTCGTCCTCAGGAAAGCCCCATTCACAGAAACCAATTGCCACAGGCCACGAGACCCGGAGACCTGCTTGTTTCTCCCGCCGCCCACGCCAAATCCCAGCGCCGAAACACGGCTTCCCCGTTTCTGCCTTAACCCTTGCAATTTAGCCTTCCCGCCGGTCCGGTGGCCGATACCGATTGGCCCGAGTTTTGTTTTCTACCTAGATGACTCCACCTCCTTCCAGCTTCCCCTCTGTTCCCGCCTCCCCTCGGCTGTGAACCAACCCATCACAGCGGCGTCGGGCCTGGGCTGCTCGGGCGGGGGCGACCAACCTCGCTACCTCCCGCAGTTGGAAAAGACCCGGGTCGAACCTGGAAGCTTCTTCTCTATCAGGGAGGGGGAGTTCTTCCTCTTGCAGTGGCCAGAAATGGTAGCGTCCACGTCTCGGAGAAGACGCGTCGTCCTCGCACGCATCAGTCCTTTCGCTCTGACGCGGCTCGGGAGTGGCTGCCCCCCCCGGACATTAGCGCCCTCCGCCGGCTTCTCGGCGCAACTTCTTCCTCAGGGTTGGTATGGCGGTGCGAGCAAAACCCGGAGACGCGCCGGCATGCCGGAGGACGGATGGGAGGTCGAGCGAGTCGCAAGTTTGGCCCGTTCAAATGTCGTGTCTTGTTCGTGACGGCGCCCGGTCGATCTTGACTGCCTTCAAAGATATGCAAGGTTGCTTGACCTCGTTACTATCTGGATGAGGAAAAAAAAATCAATTGGAAAACTGAAAAAAAAAATTCCTCCCAGAAAAAAAGGCAAGTGGTAAGCTGTAAAGCTGCCAAGGAGAAAAGCTATATGGTGGCAAGCTCCTGGAATCTAGGTCAATTCAAAGGTTTTTACTTTTGTACTTGTATTTTATTTTATTTTTTATATCAAATAAGGTAAGAAAAGCCTGTTGAGTGTGGCTTTTAAAATTCTTCTTAGCTCCTTAACAATAACTACTCTGAGTTCAGGTGATCAGGAAAGATAAGAAAGGAGGACTTCTAATGGAGGAGCTGGTAACATTGTGAGTCTCTGTTCAACTACGTTTTCTCTCAGGATTTGGTGGGTGATTTTTCTTTCTCTGCAACCCCTATCTAGATTTAGCCCATTTTCAAACTTGGTCCTTCCCCCTCCCCACTGGCTTGGGAGAACAATTGAAACATAACTCTGTTTCTGCCTTTATTGCATACTCAAGAATCACTTATTGGGATTTTTTTTTTAAAAAAAAAACTCATTCCAGACTAAGACAACAGCAAACAATTTCAATACATTTTCCAAGAAACCAATATTGGCATGTCTATGTAATCAACCAAGTATTAAATTTCAATCAAAATAGAGCTGGAAGGGACTTTGGAGGTCTTCTAGTCCAGTGGTTCTCAACCTGTGGGTTGGGACCCCATTTGGGGTCGAATGACCATTTCATGGGGGTCGCCAAACCATGCTGTCCGCCATTTTTTTCCCTTTTCCCTAGCTGTCCTACTCCCTCTTATTGGTGGCCACACCCACTTGGGGGGTCACCACAACATGGGGAACTGTATTATGGGGTCATGGCATTAGAAAGGTTGAGAATCACTGTTCTAGTCCAACCCCCTGCTCAAGCGGGAGACCCTATACATTTCAGACAAGACTACCCAGTCTCTTAAAAATCTCCAGTGATGAAGTACCCACAACTTCTGACAGCAAGCTGTTCTGGTTAATTGTCCTCACTGTTAGGAAGTTTCTCCTTAATTCCAGGTTGCTTCTCTCCTTGATTAGTTTCCATCCATTGTTTCTTGTCCTGACCTCTGTTGCTTTGGAAAATAAGTTGACTCCCTCCTCTTTGTAGCAATCTCTCAAATGCTGGAATACTTATATCGTGTCCTCCCTAGTCCTTCTTTTCTCTACACTAGCCAAATCCAAATTCTGCAACTGTTCGTCAATGGTTTGGTCTCCAGGCCTTTAATCATCTTAGTTGCTCTTCTTTGCACTTTTTCTAAAGTCTCAACATCTTTTTTGTGATGTGGCCAAAACTGGATGCATTATTCCAGGTGTGGTCTTACTAAGGCTTTATACAGCAGTACTAATACTTCACATGATTTTGATTCTATGCCTGTTTATACAACCAAGGATTCTATTAACTTTTTTGGCTGCTGCCACACACTACTGACTCATGTTTAAGTGATGGTCACTAGGACTCCAAGGTCTCTCTCAGTGTTACAGTTTTTGAGCCAGGTTTCGCCTAATCTCTAGTTGTACCCTTGCCTAGGTGTAAAACCTTGCTTTTCTCCACATTAAATTTCATGTTGTTGGATAGGGCCCATTGTTCAAGTCTGTCAAGATCTTTTTGGATTCTGAGCTTGTCTTCTGGGATGTTGGCTATTCCTGCCAGCTCAGTGTCATCTGCAAATTTGATGAGTTTCCCTTCTATTCCCTCATCTAAGTCATTTATGAAGATATTGAAGAGTACTGGGTCATTAAGCAGTCCATTAAGTACTCCTGAAGTACAATTTGTCAGCCAGCTACAAATCCAGCCATGGTGACGCAGTGGTTAGAATGCAGGACTGCAGGCTACTTATGCTGACTACCAGCTGCCTGCAGTTTGGCAGTTCAAGTCTCACTGGCTCAAGGTTGACTTAGCCTTCCATCCTTCCAAGGCTGGTAAAATGAAGACCCAGAATATAGAGGACAATATGCTGGGTCTGTAAACCACTTAGAGAGGGCTTACCAAGAAGTAGATTGTGGTCTACTTTGTCAAATGCCTTGCTGAAGTCTAAATATACTATATCAGTTAAGTATACTTTAATGGAAGGGTTGATCTCTGAAATATCAGTCAAAATCAGAACTAGAGTTCCACCTAAAATGTGATTTCAAAGCAGAAGGAAATCCCCTTCTGAACACTTGTTTTTATCTACACAAATCCTTACATTTTCCACATGCCATCAATTTTATCACTGAGCATAGGGTCAACATCTCAAATTATTTTCCCCATCCACATACACACTTCAAACAAGGAAATGAAAGATTAGGGATGTGTGGCATAAATAGATCCAGAAAACATTAAGCAGACAATGACAGTCGCATTTTATTTATGTAATATTTGTAATGTTATCTATTTTATCTACATGTATTTATTTATTTATTTATTTATTAAATTTTTTTAAAATTTTACAATAAAAACCTCTTCCCCAATCCCTCCCAACCCACCCCAAAACCCTCCCCCATTCTTCCCAGAGCTGAATACAGGCTTAACTAGATCTTAAAAGAAAAAAAGTTTTAAACCCAAATAAATCTTAAGCAAATATATTTATCTACATGTATTTTATGATTCAGGTATATGTATACGTATACACATATACATAATTTAATAAATAAATAAAATCTAGAAATATGTTATAAAAGCTTGCTACTGCATCAAATCAAAGAAAATCCTTAACAGAATTAAAATATTGGGAGAAGTGACTATGTTCTTCACCTGAAAAAAAACCTTCAAGACTGTCGATAGATGTTCTTGATTTTAGAACAGTGTTCTCCAACATTAGCAACTTTAAGATGCATGGACTAATTCCATAGCCAATCGTTCCATATTTTAAAATTGCCAAGGTTGGGAAACACTACTTATTTAAAATAATAAGACATGTCAAAACAAAATTTTCATGTCTCACAGGAAGAAAAAACTTTAAGGATTGCAATCCTTCCTTGGTTTCTTACATTCTCCTCCTCTTTCTATTCCCCAACAGGTTACCACAGAAAAGTCTCTTTTTGATTTAGCTGCCCCACCAAAACAAAGAGCAACTTTGGCATTACACGTCTATTTAGAAGGTTAAATTAAAAGTTCAAGTGTCAAAATAAAGCTTTCTCTGTGTTTATCTCATTTCGGGAATCTTAGCTGAAAAGTACAGGAATTTTAGTTTTCAACTATTCTAAGCTTTCTGTGTGATTGAAGATTATTAGTCATATATTTAAGAAAAGTGAAATGTTTTTCAAAGAAACCCTTATGAACATTATAAAAAGGAGATAAATTTAACATATCATTTAAAGTCCTGAAAAATAAAGAAACAACAAGGAAATTATATTACCTTTATTAAACATCAGGTTAGGTAAAAAAAACCCGAACATGATTCCAGATTTCTGTTAATATCAAAATGCTTACAAAGTAATACTGAATGCTTGTTAATTGTTTATTTTAAAAATAGAAGATAAGACATACACTAAAAATAATAATTTTGAAAATAGAATGCAGTGCAAAATGTAAGTACTATTTCATGAACTCCCTGTGCATCTAAATCAGTCTTAAAACAAACTTGAGGTAGTTCTCATTTGTACAACAGGGTGAGCCCAGATGTCAAAGGTTGAATAGTGGTGACTCTAGCCTAACCCACTGGTTCCATCGAAAACCTTCCCAAAATAAAACAATAATCTGCTATGCATCTATGGAGATGAAACATAGATCAGCCTCTGCATGTGGGAATGGGATTCTTTCGATTGTGGCCTACAGTTATAAAGTCTTTTATTTAGTGCTCTGTAACAAATTTCCTTTCTTTTGCTTTATTCAACCTAAGGAGAAAAAAAGGAGACATTTCTGCATGCTTTCTACCTTGAAAAACATGGATAAGTAGGAGCGTGAAATGTCTGTCCTTGAAACGCTGTAAACTAGAGAATAAAAATGGTGCAATTCTAATTCAATTTAACAAAAATGCAAGATTAATCATAATAATTTTATAACCTTTCCCTTCCCCAGCTACCAGACCAAAAATTACCTTAGCAACAAACAAAAATTAGTACAGTAGTACATGATCCATGCCATGGATCATACATGAGCATAATTTAGATGCCTTTTCAAACCTCTGTAAGTGTATACATGAAAAACACAACCAGATGCCAGGTAAGAAAGGTTCATATATCTACCAGTAATATCTTCAATTTCTTGAAAATCCAAGTAAGACAGTCCCCCTTCCTACCTCTTTCAGACATGTTTTTAGGAAAATGTGGGTGTTTTTTTTTTCCCCTCATTCCATTCCACAGTGATTTGTACCAACTTACTAAATGCTGAAATAGGCAAGTTTTAAATACATATAAGTTCCATGAATGTCTGCTTGGAATTATATATTAGTATTGCTGCTTAATTCTATTAATTACTTCTTTCATTTTTTAATATAACTAGTAAAAATTGACAATCTTTTTACATCTGTGGAATGTTAGATACAATCATACCATGCTTAACTGAACCATGCACCATGCCAAAGATTTCAGTTTAATTTAGAAAGTAGAGTGTGGCTTTTTAGTTATAAAGTATTTGTAATTATATTCATTTGCAAGCTGTCTTACTCAAAAAATCCAAAAATTTTGACAGAAAAGTTAAATATTTCATTCTTTTAGTATAACCAAATTTAACACTTAGTGCATAGGAATAAGAATAAAGAATTCCATCTTCATGCCTAGTCCCAGTAGTTGAAAAAATATTTTGCATACAAATGATTTTCCATCTTTTTGTTATGCAACATTTACCATAAATAATTGGGAACATACTCTCTATTATTGAACACATATCTAATAAAAACAAAGCTTTATTATATTGCACCTTTTCTACACAGGAAAGTTTTTCTTTAAAATGATGCAATGTAGAAAAAAATGGTTCTTGTCATTATCTTTACAATCCAGGGTGCTTTTATGCTTGTTGAGACCACAGAAATCGGTCACATCTTTCTAGCATGGACTGGATCAGGGCTCTGCAACAGAAGAGAAGAATAAAGAAAAAAATGGCAAAGAAATAAGTTATTTCATCAACCCAGAAATATAACATACTTGTCACTACTACAGCTCTAACTTTTTATGAGCTCGTAAGACCTTTCTATTATCCTCTTTGCTAAACTAAATAAAATAAAAATCCTAATTCAAAATAAATTTTTAAAAACTCACAAAGAAAATGCACAAAACAAAACTACCTTAATTTTCTTCAAGAGAGATTTATTTATTTAATCCTAGTTTTAAGAAACGATAGCCAAGAAATGCAACTTTCCATATTTTGTTTAATATCATAGGAAGAAATTCAGTATTACATCAAATACAGTAGGGTATCTTGAAAGTCTTTACAAAGTATGGGCATTGGATTTGAGAATTTTTACAGTGAGTCATCAAGCTGTCTATAATAGTAACGCTTAAATATAATGTAACCTTTAAAAATGACACATCAGTCAAAATCTTTCAAGATTGACGGAGGAGCTGTTACCTATTACAACTCTGGTGACAATACCTGTTTAAATATTAACTGGTCAAATGTTTTTCATAAAATTGGGGGGAACCAGAAATATTCTCAAAACATAAATCATAAATTTATAAACTATTCAGAGTTGTTGAAGGTTGAGGTTTTTTT